AGGGAGTATCTGGAACGAAGCCAACCGGTGAAATCGATCGGTCGGCAGGGCACATAAGCTATGCCTTTTTATTTATTTATGCTACGTGTACGTGTACCATATCCTCGCCCCCCTCCTGCGCGGGGACTCCCCGGCCGACAAATTGCGGCATTTTACGTGCGTCCACCTGGTTGGCGGCGCATCGACTTCGCGTTCGCGACTGCCTTGAATTTTTCTACGCTCTTTGCCTCACTTATCGTTATAAATATGGGAGAATATACGAGAGATGCTTCTCTCTCACTTTCTCTCTCCTTCTGTCTCTCTTTCTCCGTGACGATCTCTATTTTTGCACCGTTGCACTCTTGGCGCTATCGCTTATCCACGGATCTTCCGCCTAGCGGGATACTCTCTGTCTTTTTCTCTCGGCGCAAACATAATAAAAGTTTCTCGTAAATCCGGTGTCCGAGAGACCGATACGGTGTCACGTTTATATGAGCTCATCAAGTTCGAGATATCGTAGATCCGTAAACTTGGTTTCCCTGCACGGTGTATCCGAGATAGCGTACCAAGTCACAAAGCCTTTAATAAATTTGAAATCGATTTCGGCTTTACGGAAATTTCATCAGAAAGCCATCGGCATCGCGATCTATCCATTTTTTACTTCTGTATCTTAGTAATTTAATCTAGAATTGCTCCATTCGTGTAAAATGGGATATTAATTGAAAAGTAAAAAAATTAATTAAAAAGTAAAAAATTGCCAGTTTAAGTAACTAACATAACAGTTATTTTACATTAAAATTAAGTGGAAGTTATTATATAAAAGTTTACAACATTAAAAATTAAATATTGTTGTAAACAATTTTTACGTTAAATTTACTTAACCTCAATTATTCAAAATTAAAAGAGCGTAGAATTATTTTCTATAATAAAATATCGAGAAATACCTTATTGTCTACTACAAACAACGATTTATGTTAACGGTTTATCGATTTTCTTTTGTGAGCGTCGGCTGACTCACAGTAATTTCGGGTGCGTGATAAAACCCTTTCTTTCTTGTAATCTAATTTATTTACGTGCCGTAATACTTTCCGTAATATAACGCGAATACAACGTACATATGTGTATATGAAGCGGAAATATTTATATCAATATAGTAGGTTGCAACAGCGATTTTAACGAAGTATGAAAGCCATTAATCGTTCGTCCTACTTTAGCTTAATTCTTTTTGAAACACGCTATGTTACACGTAACCAGTGTGAAATTATTACAAGCTTTGATAACATTCATATAACATGTGAAATACAAATTAAAATATGACTGAATATTTATATTGTAAATAGAATAGAAGCAGTCTGTATAGATAGACTATACATTTAAATTATATGAATGTTTTCAGAAAAGTAAAATTATATTGTCATCTTTTATCGTGATTTTATACTTTTTATTAACGATAATCGATTCTCGAATTATATTTTGTTAATCTGAAAATAAAGTTTATATTCTAATCACTACATCGGCGCGACAATTTAAGCTGTTCCATTTGAATGCGTTAGAATTATTAATAAAAATTTTGTTCGCCAGTTAATTAAACAAATTAAATTAATGTCAAAATATTATATGTTATTTCTTTGTTGTTGATAAAGAAGAGAATAACTTATTCTAAGTGCAAACAATGTCGAACAAGAAGAGACTGTGGAACTTGTTGAAATGAACGCTCTGCTATTTATTTGGACACTTGCAGTGAAAAACTTGTCAGAATTTTCTGTTTTTCAGTCGCGCGCGTTTTTGAAGCGACGCTTTATTTGATGTGGACTCTTGTTATTCGTGAAAAAAAGAACGCAGGATTGTTTTTGGGTGTCCTTGCGTGTTGAAAATCCCACGGATAATGGATCGCGGTTTCTCGGGGAGGGAGAGAAAACGACCCCTATACATGAAATATTCTTATTGTAATAACGATTCCAGCCATTATCCCGTAGAATATCAAACGAGTTATTAGCGCGGCGTCCAGGGAATTGTTCAGTTCGCGGAGATGGGCGGGTACGCGCTGCTTTACGGAAACACCGCCGTCTAGTAATTTCGCGTGGTGCGGCCGTTTATCAAGTCAATTTGCCGTAACGGTCGTTAGGAGCACGACAGGTTTGATAAGGGCTTAAATCGATGACAAGGCGGTAGTTCGTTGGCTCGCAGGGGGAGAGAGGCGAGTAGCACAAGGCTTCTTATTACGGTCTTTAGCGCGCGATAACCCTGAACTTTAATGCTCGCCTGCCGGCCAACACGGAAACGCGAGCCTCACCGAGCCCGTTCCCCGCGTGATTTCCGCAACGCGGCGAAAAACGGGACGGGTTAAAAATAATTCGAACCGTAAAAAAAAAGGGAGTGCATCTCGGGGGAGCTTGCGATTTCGAATGTGTCGCGAATCCACGAGATCCACAAGACTCGCGGGGTCGTTGCCCCTTTTTCTCAGAAAGCTCCGCTTCTTCCTCTTTTCTCTTCCGCCGCTTTTGTGTTTGGCTCCTGTTATTGCACTATCTCCACGGTATTATAGCCGTCCGCTCTCTCTTTCTCTCTCTTTCTCTCTCTTCCCTACTTCGTTCTTCTTTTCGTGACTACCCTTCTCCCGCTTCGTCTCTCCACATCGTTCCGCCGAGGGCCGCACCTACTGTCTATTTTCGAGCGGTGACTATGTATAGAGTTTCGCTCTCATGAGACCGACGCGTCAGGAATATCACGCGGTATGTTGGTAGGTCCAACTTCTCGCTTTATCTTTCTGTCCCTTTCTCTTTTTGTCCTCTCACTCCCTCGCGTTCCCTTTCCTCTTTGTAATTAGTTTACGCCGACGCTCTATCTTCTCGTCTCTCTTCCTTTAAACAGATATATAAAAGAGAATTCACGGGAAGTACGCTATACGTGGCTAGTACAAAGTAGTTGCAAAGTAGTCTGATAGGGAAATTACACGTGCGCTGACACGTCGCTGCAATATCGTCTTTCTTAAAGTAGCTTTTGAAGAAATGCTCACAATGATATGTTGATCTAATAGTGCAAAATAGAATATTCTCTGAAAAATTAATATCTTTTTCTCATAATTTTAATACTGTAACTAATAAGAAAAATGACATAAATTATTAATTCTCAATACAGACTTTCTTTTTAACTTTCATATGTACAATATGTACAATATACGTATTACATTGTAGAGAATTCAATGGATTAAATAAATTATGCATCAAAATTATGCCGAATTTAACATTAACTTTTAAAAAGAATTTTAACTAATTGTAAAGCACCGTTTATATTTTAATATTAAATTTGAATGCGTTTTCGACGCGCTATCTTTTTGTACCTTTTATCTATCATCTGTCATTCTATCTATTCATCTATTTTATCTATCCACAGATCTATTTATCTTCTTTACAAATTTTATAGTTCTAACAATGTGAATGTATATTATTTTTCCGGGAATAACAAAGAAACTGTAATACGGATGTAGGAAAGATGAAATATGCTGTAATAAAATGTAGGTATCGATAATCACTCATAGAATAGATATTATCGTCTCGTAACATGGAAATTATTCGCTATTTTTGTGTAAGTGTGAGCTACACAAGCATCGATGAATTTTCTCGCGTAATGTTAGAAAAATTCTCAGAATATAATACAATTCAAAGATATATAAGTGATTCAATCAATATTTTATTTAGCCGCTTCGCATTCTTCATCTAATCATTTAATTTGTCAATAATTTATCAGAATTGTTAGACATCAAATATCGAGAGCTGTCGTTTTGGATGTCCTCTCAACACGGGGGTTAATAAGGATCGCCAGAGTGTTAATGGATTCACGGCACAATTCAATTCTGTTGTATGTGGACGCTCATCGATCTTGTGTTTGGCGCACGCATCGCGCGCTTACATGCATACGATCATTGAGCTGGACCTAGCCATTGTTTACAATAATTATGTACAGGCGTGGCTGCGCAGCTCGCAATTTTGTGTCTGTGCGATGCATACCTAAATATACCTCGCGCGCGAGAAATAGACCCTGGATGCTCGGGATTCAATCGGGGTTACGCGACTCGCGTTTTTATCACCCGCTAAAACAATAATAAATCTCTCTGGCGAGAGATGAAAATTCCGTTCTTACTAATTTTTAAATGACGTTTGTTTTCTATACGCGCCGCCGAAGAGCGCCATTTAACAATACCGGATCTCGATTGCTTGTGGTGCAATATTATTTTCCGATACACGTGCCGAGCGTATATCGTCGTTTTGCATTTTATTTAACGTAACAATTCATCATGCGCGCAATTGTGAATATTTCTGATTAAATAGCGCCCGAGTTACCGAATTACCGCCGCGACTGCACAAATTACCGCGGCCATTTAATTAACCGCTTGTCCTCGATGACGATGGGTGATCAGTGCTAATCGTCTAACGAGGGATTTAATCAGGTCATTAGTGCATTTGTTCGCGAGAATTTGCGCAACTTCAAAGTCGTTGGAGGTAATTTGACGTTACAGCGATCGTTAATAATATTCGCGGGTAACCACCAATATCTATATATGCTCCGACACGGCAGCGTCGAGTACGGGGGGCATCTTGGCGCTTGTCATAAACGTTACTTCACATTTGCTGACAGTTATCGGTTGGACTTTGCGATACACGAGGCTGGCGTGCGTCGTATCGGAAATAAAGCGATACCATCTAATGAGAATAGATCGCGCGGACGACAACATATGAGACACTCATTCAAGTTACGAGCTTTCGCGAATGTTATTCCGGCGGCGCAACTTTGATTACATTTAGCTATGTCGATCTTGACATGAAATTGGTAAACTGAACTCGAGGAGTAAGGCACGTCATGTCTTTCAAAGAAATTATTTAAAGCTGTAAAGAGGCGATTGCTTTATTTTTTTTTTCGGGAAAACACAATAAAAAAATTATGAAACATTTGTACATTTTATGATAATTGTGTTGAAAAGAAAGAAAATGTTTTCTCACGATGCGACTTCTTGTCTGTTTCAGGTGGTGTTAGTTTTCATTCTCAGTATAGCATCGCTTATAATATACTTCATCGATGCCTCCAGGTGAGTAGCAAGACTTCGACGGCGAGTGTGTTAATGCGTATAGCTTTCAAGTTTATCACAAACATTCATGCATATTGTTTTTATTCTCGCGCAGTATTGGTAATATTATAATACGACACTTTGTGTTTTTTTTTTCTTGCGGTGTTTAATTAAGGGCGCGGCGATAATCGCTAGTTTAATCGCTGCTATTTTAGTCGCCCTTTCAGCGTTGCTTTTTTTAAGACCGAGACCTTCGCGTGAGTTCATAAGAGATGCTGACCTAACATCCGCAATCTCGTGCTTTTATGTTACAGCGAAGTGGTGGAGCGTTGCCAGAAGTGGAGCAACAACATTACTCAGCAGATAGACTTAGCTTTCAATATATTTTTTATGGTCTACTTTTTTATACGCGTAAGTAAGATCATCCATTTTCCGTCTGTCAATGAACTTTTCAGCTAACATTAAGATTACAGATAAAATGCATGTTCTGCACAAAATTCTGCCGTATAAAAATACGCGTCAATTTTTTTCATCTCGATGAATTTCTTAAAAAGAAAAGTTTATAAATTTTTATTAAAATTTGGAACATTTAAAAAATAATTTTAAACTTAATAATTAAATGCGCTTTGTACGAGATATAAACTATTGTATTTATACTTGTATTTTACGGAAATTTTTCTGGAGTTCTTTACATGAAATATAATGGTCCAATTAATTTTTTTTTAATTTAAATGTACGCATGTCGATGTTATTTCTCTTACGATTTTCGCAGTTTATCGCCGCCAGTGACAAGCTGTGGTTCATGTTGGAAATGTATTCGTTCGTGGACTACTTTACGATACCACCGTCCTTCGTGTCGATATATCTCGATCGGACGTGGATCGGACTGAGGTTCCTCCGAGCCCTACGACTGATGACGGTCCCTGACATCCTCCAGTACCTTAACGTTCTAAAGACATCGAGCTCTATTCGTCTCGCTCAACTCGTCTCCATCTTCATTTCGGTCTGGTTAACCGCTGCTGGCATCATTCATTTGGTGAGTATTATAATTCTTTTGTACTCAATTATTTCAAATGTTTAAAAAGCAATTCACTACAAATATTCTACTAATTATCTTGAGTTCTTATTATAATTACAGAAAATACAGTTCTCAATAACAAAGAATTTAAGTCTCTTAACATATTCACTATTAATTTCAAAATAAAACATCACATCTCAATATACATGCGATGTAAAATTTATTACATACACATGTAACTTTGAATTAATTATACTTTTTTTTTCTCTACACTCTTTTATAATAATCAATGTATAAAACCGAATTTGGTCATGCGTATGTACCTTTTCAGAGATGTACAGGAAGTCGAGAAATACGAAAATTAATAATTTTTCAATAAATAATAATTTTAATAATAAACAAAAATAATTTTTGACAAAGTGATAAGAATAATCTTTTAGTGAATTGGAATATATTTAAATATAACTGAATAAAAAGAAATAATGAATGGATACGATAGTAATAATGTGATAGTAAAAATCAAATATAGAGTCAATCCCATCAATAAATGTCATGAAAAATTATTATAAAATAACAATAAAACTATTATCCTTATATTTCTCGGATTTATAATTCTTTCTTACAATTTCTATGCGATTTGAGTATTTTATGATAAAAAATAGAAAAATATATCTTCATATATATTATTTACTCAATAATATATATTTTTTACGACTCACACACACACACAAACACACATGTCTCCCAGGACCTATATATGCAGAAATCCGAGAGATTCGTTTCTCGGACGTTCCGCGCTTATACCATTGCGCGGTACTAAAAGCTTATGGTTATGACTTAACCAATATAGACCGCAATTTCACTCTTGACACCGCGCGAGGACGGTCCTAAACGTAATAACATCATGCCCGCAGCTTGAAAACTCAGGGGACCCTTTCGACTTCTCGAACCCACAAAAGCTTCCGTACTGGACCTGTGTGTACTTTCTGATCGTGACGATGTCCACGGTAGGATATGGCGACGTTTACTGCCAGACGGTCCTCGGCCGCACATTCCTAGTATTTTTTCTACTCGTCGGTTTGGTAAGTTATTTTTGTGTATTCAAATCTCAAGCGTATAGTCGAACCGTTTACTCTAACGTTTACGTACGTCGGTTTACAGAGCCTTCTATACCGCGTATAATATGCCGATCAATGATTGCGTGATTCTCGAAAACGCGTTCCCCCGTTTTTTACGCTATTGATAAATGATTTTCCCATCATGATTTGGTTGCTCCATAGATAAGCGCAGTTTAGCGTTTTTAAAAACGACATTTTGTACGACGTGTATATAATTAAATTCTCCACGTAACGATAGTTATAATTTAAGAAAAGCAGAATAGAGTATAATTTAATTTTATGTGAAGTAAATAAATATAAATAAATCTCTATTCTCGAAAGTGGAAAAGTGTCGTCCATTGTGTTTTTCTATGGATCTCTCTTTTTGCGACGAATAAAATTATTACACGAGCTTTGCGAAATGAGCGAAACGTCTTTTCTTCTATATTATATCGAATTGATTCCTTTGAATGTACAACGCGAAGAAAAAGCCGAAAATCTGTGACATACGAAATTCTCTTGTCATATCGATCTGGGGTATTAGTTCTTTTTTCTTTTTGCGTGCGCCCGCGAGAAGCTTTTTCGCTTGACTTGTCTTTCCGCCGAATCTCCGCGTATCTTCCTTTCTTATCCCGAGAAATCTCAAAGTACCGCAGGGCATTTCGCTTTTCGCTGTTCGGCATTTCGCATAGCTCGTTTCGTCTAACTGCAGGTGCCGCTAGTTTTGCCAAGGCTCGTATAGCAGAGCGGAACGATTGGCAAGACGAACGGCGGCCTCAGATTTACGTGTCCCCCGAGTCGCGAGACGGTGAATACTTCGGGTGTACGGTGTTCTCCGGCCGTTGATCCTCCTGCATCGCGAAATACCGAGAACAGTCCGATGGAAGAACAATTCATTGGGAAATTGTTTGTAATGCACTGTGAAATTTTTCATTGATCAAATTTTTATCTTGTGACGTCTCAGATTAAGAATTGAAAGAAATTAAAAATATAAAAGAAGCGAGTGCTCTCCAGATGAAAAAGAAAACTCCTTTGCTTTTGCTCGTTGATACAGTCATGGAGTTTTTTAATTAGTGAATTTTTACGCGCTTTAAAAACGCCACTATAGTATGGTGTCTACGTGTATATTTTTAACGGTAAACATTAATATAACTTCGCTGATTCACGTTTCCAAGAGATAAAGCTTGAACGACAAGTATGTTTACTGAATGGACATATTTAGAGCTTTTATCGCGAATTTACCCCACTTCTTGAACTTTCTGGCTTCGCAACTCGGGACAAAGGAAAACGCGCGGTTGTAGCGCTATTGAAATAACACTTCCGTCGATGTCACGCGAAAATGGCTTTTTGGGGCAGAAATCAACGGCGGAGAACGGTGCCGCTCGTTATGCTCGAATCGATCGATCCGTTTGAACGTCGATGCGCGCATTGCCGTCTTTTATGCGTACACCTATTGTACGTATTTGTGTACGTGCGCGGCTTATCGATCGTTCACGTGAACCTTGCGTACACGATCTGGTCACGGATAACAGTCTGCTCTTGGAGTTCTCTCGAAGACGAGCGTCGTATCTTTGTCTCCTAAACGCGAGCATCGCCGTTCAAACGTCCGTCGGAAACGCGTCCAGGCTAACGTTTATGTTGTCCGCAGCTCACCGTAGATTATTTAAGATAACACTGATTATTTGGAGAGAACATAAATCCGAAAGTACGGTACACTCGACATACGTGAAGTTCTGATACAGAATAAGTTTGCTCACGCATAACGGTTTAAATCATTCCACGTGGAAAGATATGTCGTAAATGCTTATAATACGTAATTATATTTTAATTACTAAAGAAAATATGTGAGCAAAAAAAATATGATCTATAATAATATAGTTTGTTTTTAGTTTTTGATCAGTGGTCAATCAATTAGACATGTTTTGTGCCATAAGAATTGAAAAATCCTTATGACACAGTAAAAAAAAATTATCACAAATTAAGCCTTTATCGCGGTATGACGACGAAGCTTAAAGAGACTAACTTAAGTTACATTCGGCAGCTTCACTCCTTTTCTCGAAAATCGCTCAAAATCTATCTAAAACATATTTCCCACTTCCTGTAACTTGTACGTATATATACATCGAAAACGCAAAAAAATTTCCTATTGTCATTTGAAGTAGTTCGCGGCAACTTGGATCAACCGTTATCCGGTTCGAAATTTTAGCTATGACAGTAGAGACGAGAAGACAAAGATATTGGCTACCTCTGCCTTATGCCTCAATATCCTTATTATACGTATATCATATATATTTATCGGAATCATCTGACATTTCATTTGTAATAAAATTGTCTTTAAACCATACAAAACATTCATTATACAAAAAGTTTTGAAAATCTCTTCGATTAGCTTAAATATGCAGGTAATATAATATATAATTTTAAAGAAAGAGAGACACAGAAAATTTCGCAATGCTGTCCAAATTTTGTAGGATAAATTACTATCGGAACAAAAAGATTGCATTCAATCTAGTCAATGCCTCCTTTTCTGACAACTTGCACACAAGTTATAAAGCGCAGAAAAATATTTTATCTCCAATATTGAATATAATTTTGTTCGTGATTTCATAGTCTGATCTAAGTTGTCTCAAAGAAAAACTTTCTGAAATACTTTGCATTGTCAATAGAATATTGATAGAATTGTTAAAAAAGCGGAATCTCAGCATATAAAAATCATGATGGATTTCGATGTTATGTGATTTCATACCTGCTCGCTCATATTCTATAATTAAAAGAAAAAGCTTTTAAATAAAATAGATCAGAATGCACAAAGACTGTTCCAAGTGTCTCAAATAAAAATTTGTATATGTAGAATTATTTGAAACATTTTCGTATTTTTATCTGCGCATTGTAATCGGGCAATTTTATGAAATGCGATTTGTTTTATTATAATAACTCAACCGCAACAGATCCGTAATAGTTGATTCGTAGATTAATTCGTTCTATTAGAACGATTTCTTCCGATATTACTCGTACTTTTGTTACAAAATTTAATAAAATTTTAATCAAGACGATTACATAGTATAGACGTAGTTTCCAAAAACGCAGCTGAGGCATTTAGCAAAGCCAACATTTCGTTTCCATCGAACCGCATTTTGCATCAGATTTATTTGTTATAATTGCTCGCGCTCGAGCCTGCCGATTCCGGTGTTACGCGAGATGGTGAAAGAAGTTAATTGCGATCATGCGTATTTGTACGACACATCGTAGCTATTGGAAGCATATATTACTCCTTCTCTTTTTCTTTTTTCCTCTTTCTCTCTCTCTCTCTCTTCTCTCTCTCTTTCTCTTTCTCTTTCTTTCTCTTTCTCTGTCTCTGTCGATCTTTCTCCCTTTCTCTCTATCTTACGGCTTAAATTGGTTCTACGAGTTTTGCTACAGCCACTGTCTATCTTTTCTCTTCGAAGAATCATTTGTAGCTAATAATGCGGCGAATCGATCACTCGGATACGATCGATTCGGCTTGCCATGTGAACGCTGCGGTATATGCTGCGAACTTATTTTTTCACAACATTAGCGAGTACTGAAAGGACTTCTATTACTATAAGGAGCCTCGAAACTTGAAGCAATGGAATTTCATAAATCTCGTTCTATACTACTGAAGCACACGGGTAAAACTCATGAACAATGCTCTTATTAAAGAAAAAAGTTATTTACAAAGCTACATAAATGTTTTAATTTTTAAAATTTTTAACTTTTTCTTATAAATATTTATACAATTGATGTAAAGTTAATAATCCCAATTTCGTAATTATTTTGTAATTAAGATTTAAGAGGATCAACCAAATAATTAAATTTCAATCGCGTAACTCTTTAAAAAAGTAAAGTGAAAATTTTGCCAAATTAATTCTGCATCTTTTACGCGATATGGCAATATTTGATTAGATAAGTAAGTTCTGATTTGAAACAAAAAAAAATGTAGGTTGATTTACAAAAAATATGATTATCTTGTTGAACTTACTAGCCACATCAGAGATTCGAGGTTCTTGTGATTGTTGTAAATCTTTTCATATCAACTTTATATCTCTCTCGAAGAGCACGAGGCCCAATGGCTTCGATGAAACATTGGTGTTTGTACGCGCTTGATCTTTGACTCTTCACATTCTGTCTGTATATGTATACTTTCTGCGACGCTGATACGCTGCTCATATTATGACGTAAGATATTATTCTGACCGCTTGAACTTTATTTTTCCGAATTGTCGGCCGTATGTTATTGTCGGCGAATTCCGATTACGACAAGATGTCAAGGTTGAACGCGAGACTTAACCGTCGTAGCAATGGTTCATCTGTTTCGCTATTATACTGGGAACGTTCGCTTCGTTTTTCGTCTTCCCGATAAAGAGCGAAAGCTACACAAAGTAATATAGTTTTATTGTATTACGGGACAGGAGATGCCACTTTGTCTTTCTATCGATTTTAAATGGCGCGTTGTAAACTTCGTTAGAGAACAATTCTTGAAATGTGGAGTATCCGCACGATTGACTTTAAGACTTTCCTTCGAATTGGCAGTACCAGATCAGCGGTAATGAAAAAATTGAATCAAGTTGTCTTTACAGAACATGAACAGAATATAAATTATCCATCATTGTTCCATCAAATATTTTTAGTTATATTTATACAAATCAGTAATTTAATATAGAGCTTGATTGTCTATAACAAACTTGTATATTTTATTTATACAAATTTATGAAAAGTTAAAATAAAGATTAATTTTTATTATTAATTTAATAAAACATTTAATTATTGCATTTTATATTGTATTTATTAATTATGTAATTCTGAATAAATGCGTTAGCTATATTAATATTTCAAATACAATCGCGAATTTACTTACACTTTTCATTTATTACCTTCTGTTTCATTAAATTTCTCAGTAAATCATTAATTTATGTCACATTGATATAAGTTTTATTCAACGCATTTGATATCCGAATATAAAAGTTAATGCAAATTTGTACATCCACTACAAGAGATATTCTCAAGTGTGTGGAGAATGCGTGGCGTCTCGTGTCCATTATACTTTCGTGCACTTGCTCCGAGAGGTTTGTAACCGAATCGTTTGGTCTATCGATTAGTCAGCTGGAAATGAAAAATCATGTCCTTGTAACACATATAAAGGGGAAAGTTCTTTTGGAACACTTTCAAGACGCTTTGGCACTCATCTGAAAGTATGATATCACGTGTCTCTCTGTATAACGTGCGACGAGTGAGGAACCCTTTTAACCGAACCCAGTATAATATTCTGTAGACACGAGCGGTAATAAATCCGAAATTAGACGACGTGCCACCGTAAATTAAACGAACTCAGACAAGCTAAAAGATCGATAGACTCCCGGTTTATTGCGAGTTCGGTCCCGGTCGCGAGTACCTAAAAGTAACACAGAAATGAAGTTGAGAATTGTCTCCAATTGCACAAAGAGTTGGAAAGAAAGGACTTTATTTTTACAGAGTTTTACAAAGGAAATAAAATTATATTTTATAGTAACACAAGTTTTGTGTTAGCTTCAGAATAAATTAATGTTTTTTGTAAACACTTAAATAATATTTTATATATTGCTGATGCATTTATCAGAGAGAGAAGCACCTTTTGACAAGAACAATTAGTCCTATTTGAACTAATTGCATTGAATATTCTTGTTTTAAAATTTGAACCTATTTTCCAGTATATATAACTATATATAATTCCAATATAATAGAGAATAATCACAAATGATATTCATGCGTATTCTAATTTGCGCTCAGCTCAATATAATTTTATATAACTAGAATGATGTATCAAATGAGCGATGCATTCATGCAGAATTTTGTTCATAAAATCATCAAGTTAATATATTGTCCACTGTTTGCGTTACAGTGTTATTACAAATATCCGTTATAACAGCCGTTCGGTTACAAACCCTAAATTGGTTGTTATTTTCAACGCCCGTGCAAGAGTAAATTTTTGTTTTCAATAATCTCTTTCTCTCTCTTTCTCTTTCAGAATAATTTATTAAGATACAGCGTCTATAATATATATTCGCGAATATTATCTATTACAATTCGTAGGATTGTACGTTAATATACTATTTGCTAAATTCCAGAATACGTGATATCACTAAGTATCTCTGAAGTTCTGAGCCCCGGTACGCGAGTTCTCACTTCGCCGCGTACTTGACGCACGGCGAAGTGATCGCCGGTCGTACAATTCGCTGCTTCGCCATGCTACTTTACAGGATATCTATCCCTGGCTGTTTCTTGAGAGCGTACATCATGTCGAGCGCAAAGTGTCGACACACACCTCTCTCTCTCTCTCTCTCTCGCTGTTCTGTCTCTCACGATAATTTCGTTGATCGCAGTGTCTTTAGTTGCCTGGTGTCTATAAAGCTCGCGACACAAACGCCCAAGTCGCGAATCACTTTTAGCGCCTACATTAATGGCAAAATCACGTGGCGTGACGTGACACGGCACGACCTTATCGATCGTTTATGATGGATCATATCTCTCTCATAGCATCCGGCATTATAGACGATTTACATAATAGCGCTTCCTTTATTTTACACGCGCATGAAGCGAGGCCGATTTGTTAAATTTCCTTTCTGCTTCCCTTCACCAAAATCGCTTGCATCTCTCTCACACATCTTTGTAACATTTAATCTTGTTACATTACTCAATACTTTATACAATATTTATTCTATTTGTAAACAGCAGAATTACAAGATTGGTATTAAGTATCATCGTTATCTTACCAGATTTTCTAGAGGTTAAATTTGGTTTAAAATTCGCGACTTAATAAACTTTGTAGTAAACTAACAATAAGTCAAATAATACGATAATAAGAGTATTAATACAATTTATTGTTATTAAGCGAATGAATATAAAAATTGGTCTACTACAAATGTAAAAATACTGATCTTAACTTTTACAAATACACCTCTGCTGTTTTCTGTATTTATTTATTTTTTCTTGCTTACTGTACTACTTTTATTCATGTGCTCACACGCTTAAATATTCCTATACTGCAGACAAAAGCATATACACTCACAAGTAAAAACTTGAAACATACACGCTGGATAATTTTATACGCGGTTGCGACAAATTCTTCGTGATGTAAGTATACCGAATAATATAATAGTAATAAAATGCCCTAGTAATAATAATGCCCTTTGGCACAAAATAAAATTGTGACAGAAAATATCTCACTGTTATTATTTGGACTTTTAAAATCGACTTTGATCTTACGAGATTTTTATGCGTGCTGAAATGCAGCTAAAATAATGATTAACATCACGATAATACATGTATTGGCATTAATATATTATTCATTTAACTTGATTAAACTTAAATCGTTACTATCGGGATATTAATACAAAAAAATTATATTAAAAATTAAAAATAATTAAATTAAAAAACAATTTTTATATAAATCCGTGTTTTATTACATATTAATGTAATAATTGTCTAAATTATAATATAAATTGATGCATTTTTTTTAATGAACAGCTTTATAAAATATGTATTTTGTACAAAATTTGTGTACAAAATATATAATTAGACATTCTAACTTTTTTATTTAATATTGCGTCGGTACAATGTTGAAAAAAAACAATCGATTAATGCAAATGGAAATTTTGTTAACATAATTGACAGCGAGGTACTCTTTTTCACACTCTACACGTTATTCTCCACGTATCGATCCAAGACACGTTCGACGATATTGATATATTTTTAGAAGCATTGCAATTTTCACTTCACTTTTTAAGCACATTTTTCCGAACACGAAACGTAGAATGTATGGTAGATTGTTGTTCCGTCAGTTCGCATTTTTCTCCTATTCTCGCCTGTGTTTCTCCTTCCTTTTCCGCCGACTCCGTTTCCCGACGCGAAACACGCACCTAACTTAACGCCATAATACGGCGCGGAAGCACTGCTGCTAAATGCAACCGTACATAGGTGACCCAGTTTGCTTTCTCAACGATCCGTAGTCGCATAGTGTTTTCCAGTTATGATTTCTATTTGCAGGCAATTTTTGCTAGTAGCATACCCGAGATAATAGAGCTCGTAGGCAGTAGGTCCAAGTACAGCGGCGAGTACAAGCGGGAGCATGGAAAGAGGTATTACTATCAAATTTACGTCCTACAAACCCTCTGTCTTTTGTCTATATTAATTTTACTTTTCCTTTTCCAGTATGTCTATGTATATACTTATACTTACTCATAAGAATTAACGAACTCCACGTGTAATACACACAAATCACGCACGTATACACCCACACACACACACACGCACACGCACACGATGCGCAAATTGCACGCGTGCACTCGCATATATACACGTCTGCCGTCGCGGTAACGTTCATCATCGTTCCATCATCGTTCTACATTAATGCAGAACGTCAAGAGCTCGAGAACCTGTGATGAATGCATGAAAATTTACAGCAGTTGGAAGTACAGAGTTGACGGGAGTATAACGACCGCGCGCGGGCGCGCGCGCGTGGTATATAATCGTCGTTGGCGTTCCCTTTCGTTTTCCAATGAATCAAACGGCTCTCGTCCACGGTGAAAGGTCGAATAAAACGAGGAGGAAAGAATTTCACGATGGGCGTGTGGTGTTTCTCCCCGAAAAGGTGGAAACGCTTGGAATCGAAAATATCCCGATATTCGGTGCTATTGCGTATTTGCTCGTGTAACGAGCACTGGATCAACGTAACGGGGGTATATTTTCGCATGATGGAAAGCGTTAAAATGTATGATTTGCGATTTGTAAATGTGCTTTTTTTTATTTTTTTTAATTTTTATTAGAGCAAACATGGATAGTAATAACGCATATTTGAAAGGCGCGATTTAAAAATATGTATAGATATTAAAAATTAGAAGCTTAATATTTAAATAATATTTACGTGAAGATACGATAAACTGTGCTACTTTTTTGCAATATTGACAATATTATATTTTTCAAATTTTCATTAAATATTTATATTAATTGAATTAAATATCTTAGAATTAGCAATGCTGTCGAAGAAATACTATCGAAACTAATGCAAAATCAATTCAGATATTCCATGTATTAGTTGTATGATCGCCGTAAGAGTCGATTAATTTTATTATTATCATAATGTTGAATGGAGGTCATCCGTGACCAGGTAAATGTTGAGCCATCTGCGACGACCAAAAGTAGATTTTATTTTTTGGTATCAGTCCAAATAGCCATCTCGAATTAAAGCCGATAAAGCACAGCTGTGGCTTAAATCGGTACGCGCGTAACCACTAACAAGTACCAACGTCATTACCTTGAGTCTCATTCTCTCGTTTTATATATTTGCATCGAGTGTATTCATTGAAAAAACTCAACGAGCTAATTTTTTTTCTGCGCATCACTGCTTTAAATTCTGACAATTTTAAATAATATACATACTCACGAGAGATATAATTGCGAATAGGAATTCACGTTACTAATTATTTTTTTATACTAATTTTTTAAACAACTTAACAAGTCTCTAGACGTTCAAAATTGTTTGAATTATTTAAGTAATCAATTCTTATTTTGATGACGGTCTGACGTTTAACGAATGCAACGACCTTTCACCGTGTGATGCCGATTAACAAAAAAAAAAATGTATCTATGGGCGACGACTACATGTAAGTCCAAAATGACGAAAGAAGCAGCTATGTTTAGTAAGTTTGTCGTTTGCATGTACTATCGACAAAAGTGGTTTTTTTTCATCATGTATCGATTATCGTTCTATTTCTACAGCACGAAGCAACAAGCATCCGTATTTGTATAATATTAACATATACAATACATAAAAGCTAATATTATATAAATATGGATTACAAAGTGACGTGAGCGAAAGTGGCTTGATGGAATTCGTATTTTTCGAATTCAATCTACAGACAAAATTTTTGCATATCTTTAAAATAATACTAAATAAATGGTTTGAGAAATCTCGTAGCTGATTATTTTAATTGGCAATGATTGTTTTCTTTCTAACTCCATCAAGTTTCTTCGCCGTTACATTAACTATTGTTTACCAAAAGCACACTTTCTTAACAAGTTACATAGTTTGCCACTTTAGTCTGCTACCTTTAATATATAAACATATATAGGAATACAATTACTTATTATATTATTTATTATAATGCACCACATTAGAAATATCAGTGAAACTCTTAATACATTTAATATATATTCGAATTATTATTAGACACATAATTAATATATCTTCAACTCAAATCATGTAAAATGATCGCGCAACAGATTTGGTTAACGTAATATATTATAATTATATAAATAAATGATTGAAGATATAATTTCATTGGTTTAATTATATGCGTAAATCGTCTTACATGATTTGACCATTTGTTTTACACGAAAGTATATACATATATACACTTGATCACAGAACTCAATTCAATCGAAATACACTTTAGAGAAATCCCACTTTTTATTTATTTTCCCGATTCTCCTAAAAATAGAGAGAAGTTTGAGGCAAAATAATCTTTTAGTTTTTAAAGCAATATTCTTTGGCACCCATTCTAAGAATAGGTGATGATGCCATATTCGAAATGGCGCTGATTGCTCGAAATTGCCGGCGTATGCTATAATAATGTCTGCATGCTGTTGAATTAATTTTGACTGATACTTCGCGCAGGATGACGACACTTGTTTTTCTGCTCCTTGTAATGGGAGATGCGCGGGAATGGTCGTAGTTGATAACACTATTTGACTCGTTGACAGTGGCATAACTCAAGAATCATGACGCATGTTTTTTAGAACGAGGAACTAACGGCACTGTGCTTCATGGAGCGATTGACTCGATTCGCATTATTTAGTAAGACCACAAAGACGAATTTTTATTCTTCGCGCTACAAGATACTTAGTTTCTTTATGATGGCTGCGCATCGCTATTAATATCGCGCACAATTAACGTCATGCTAATACGCAGTTTCATCGTTTCGATATGATCTAACGTTTATGGGCGTGATAGCGGAACTATATTCGCTGTTAATTTATCAATTTTCCGCATAGGTAATTCAGGCTCAGCTAGTTTAATAAACAATTCGAATTTTCGTCCTTTTTGCTTCAATGGTATTGAATGCAACACCAATTGAGAATAAACGAATGATATATTATCGTATTCCAGTAAAAACAATCTACGGTTTTATTTTCATTGGAAAAAAAGTTTGGGCAAATTGTATAGTATATATAATTATCGGAAAACGAGAGGAGCCTTGTTAGAGGCAAGTTAGAAAACTTTATTGCATTATTATGCATTGTTGTTTATCGTATTTCTGACGTATCATCGTAGGTAAATATATTCCGTATTTTGTGTTAAAATCCAGCAATCTTATCGCTATCAGGTTCAATTAAAAAATTTTAATTAAAAAATTAAAGACTTAATCTTTATAAATTATCATACAACAAAAAATCTCTTTTTTTTTAAATATGATTATGTAGTGATTAAAAAATTTACTACAAAATTGCTTAAATGAAATATATGTAGTTCTAACGTTCAAAAAGGATTTCTCAAAATTTCAAAATTAATGAAGATTATAACATTAAAAGTTTTTCACATTAATATTTAAATATAGATTTTTTTAATTTATTTATTATTTAACGAAAAAAGTAATGGCTTGTTTAAAAAAGTCCAGAACGTATTTGATTGTTAATTGACAATTGCTAAAAAGTGTTTTAGACAATTTAGAAACAAGTGAAAACTAAGCAAAGATGTGAGTACAATTTTTGCTTATCTAAGCATAGATGTGAGAACCTTTTTCAAAAGTTTCTATATTTCTTGTTTCTAAAGTTTAAATTGCTTTGTTTCGTTATAATTTTTAATTTTTATAATTTGGAATTTTATTAGAACTGTTCTTTTTACAATTTTAAGAATTTAGTATAAAATAATTTTGTTATATCCACAAAAATATGATTTAAAAAAAAATCTAATACATCTTGGAAATACCTTTACCGCTAAAGTAAACTCAAAGAGTGTTCAATCGATTTAAAAACTGTTTCCACTATCGCTATTGAAAAAAATCTACACATTAATTTAATTAAGTAAAATAAAATAAAGTACATGTCAGCTTCGAAAGAGCATTGTACTATGACTCTAATTGCGTTTCAGTCGATTGATCCTATCATCTTCAGTCTCGCGATTTATTACGCTTTATCGCTTGATAAGCGATCGGAACCTAGCGAAACTGGAACACGAGCAAACAGAAAGAAAAGAAACAAAAAAAAACAAATACTAAAAGATTCAGGATAGGGGTCTGTTCTGACGGCAACGGATGATTGTGGGTGTGTAGGCGGTGTTCGCCAGCTGGATCCCAGAGATCACGGAGCTCGCCGCGAATCGCAGCAAGTACGGTGGCCAGTACAGCCGCGAGCGTGGACGCAGGTACCCCAGAAATCCATCTACGTGGAAGCCAGCCATGAAACAACCCCTTGAAATTAGCCGCCCCCCCCCCCACGTGTTGTCCCTCACAGTAGTTACATTAGATTATACGAGAAAGTAGCGAAATCGCCCCTGGATAGCGGGTGGTCTCGTCATGCGGCGTCCATCATGATTTCGCCGTGCTTACGACATCATTGTATCATATACCATCGCTGCGATTCGCAATTAGAGAGGCACCTTAATCAGGAGAGAGGACGGGGAGGCAGGACAATTTTCGCAAAACAAATCTCCATCCGCACGTCTCCACGCGGCTCCTTCGTGCGCTTTCGCGTTTTCATTTAGAATCAGTCGTATCAGCGGAAAAGTTTGGCGCGACGAGTAAATACGGACGGGGAGAATAACACGGACTGAATAAAAACACGGTATATTCGTGTAACGAAATCCGTGTATCTTAATGATTGAACTGCCGCCGCCGCGGCCGCGCCGTTGGGGCGCGCGCGACCCAGTTCTCCGACTGTGAACTTGCGGATTGAACTTTTTGCAGACACGAGTCTCGCTTCGGCAACACGAATTGTAGCGATATTGTTTTTCCTCGCGTGAAGAAAGCGAGGGTAAGGTCGAACGTTGCGCGCGTGACTCGATCTTTCCCCGGATAAAAGAAAAAAAGAAAAGTTAAAAGAAAGAGAGTAATATCACATTGCTTCCCCCGGGTTTGTATAA